CCCCTCCCCCTCCTGCCGAGAGCTGCTGTGGCACCCTGACACTGGGCAATGGAAGGGGAGGGGTTGTGGCTCTGGCTGTCCTGGGCACCCAGGCCTATTTTGGGGGGCTGAGGGAGGCACGGTCTGATCTGTTGGTGTCTGCCCCTGCTGTCCAGTGCACTCCCAGCCCTGGGTGAGCTGAGCATGGGTCTCAGGGGTAGGGGCGCTGGTGCAGGTCATAGGTGAGCTCTGGAAGCTTCTCGGGTGCTGCGGGTCTAATTTCACCTTCCTTTTTCTTTCTCTCTCTCCCCCCTTTCTCTTTCCCCTCTCCCTTACAGGTGCTGAGCCTTGACAAGTCAGTAAGCCTTTTGCCTGCTCTCTCTATCCTCCCTGCATGCCTCTTCCCTGCTAGCGCCCCGCTCTCTGGGGCAGGGCTGGCCTGGGGATGGGCAGCATGTGCTGCTCTGCCCACGTGGGTGGTTCGCTCCTGGCAGCAACCTGTCCTGAGCCTGCAGGGCGAGCGCTGCCCGTCTCTGCCAGGGCCCTGGAGTGTCCTTGCGCGTGGTCCCTTCCCTTGTCCCCAGAATATGGCTTGGCTGGGCGAGGGCTGATGGGCTGCCCAGAGCCAAGCAGGTGTTCACTGGGCTCTTGTGCGGCTCTGCCAGTGATTTTTTGACCTTGGCTTTTATTCTTGCCCCGTCCTTCTCCCTCCTGGCCCTTGAGGGTAGCCTCAAACTGCCAGGGATGGACGGTCAGTCCTGAGTCATTCCCTAATGAGCCCTTCCTATGTGGAGGAGGAGTAGGGGTTGTGGGGGTGAAAGGCAACGTGTGGTGTCTCATGTACTGGTGTGACGCGGTTCTGTGCCCAGGGAGATGATGCAGTGGGGATCTGTCAGATTTGACAGATGCCACTGTCGCTCGCAGGCAGCCCCCGAAGTCGCTGGAGTCCCCCAACACTCCCGTGTGTGACCCTGTGAAGTTGCGGCTGATAGAGGATGCTGAGGACTGGCAGCCCCGCGCCAGGACCTCGCAGTCCCGCTCCTTCCTCAAACTGGCCCAGCTGACGGGCACAGACAGCAGTAAGTTCCCGCAGGGCCCAGAGCTGCCTGGGGGTGCTCGGCATTGCTGGATCAACTGGAGCCAGATAAAGGCTGGGATGTGTCATGGCAGCAGAGCTTTGATTTTTGGCCCCGTCTGGCCCCTCAGGGGAGGCTGAGCTGGTGGGAGTTACCCGGGGCTGTGCGTGGGCTCATGATGGTGCTGCTGTGCTGGGGCTGTGTTTTGCCCCTTGGTCGGGCAGGGCTGTGTGTTGTGGCAGGAGGGTGGTGGGATGAGAGGTCGGTGTTCCTTCCTTTTGCCTCCCCTTCCCTGTGTCCCTGGCCCTTGGTTGTTGCAAACTGATTCTGTCTCCTCCTTTCTGTCCTGCTGTGCTCAGTGGAGGATCATGAGGATGAGATTGTTAAAACACCCAGGTAAGGGGAGCGTGTGCTAGGGTGACAGCAGGAACCACAGGGCTGCCCACCCGGGGCTCAGCCAACCTGGGGCTCAACCCACCCGGCTGGTTTGCCCTCGCACTCACGGCTTGCAGTGATTCTGGGGAAGCTCTTTGCCCTGTTGCTCTGACTTCTTTTCCTCCTGCCTTCTCCCCTGTCCTCCCGTTCCCTCTCCCCAGAGCCGAGCTGTTGGCAGAGCCGCAGAGCCTGCCCTGCGCTCGCCCCGCGATGGGCACTGCCGGCGCTCAGCCACTGCTCTGACCGTCACTTCGGGAGGGTCCTGCCCGGGTACCTGCCTGCCAGGCAGGCTGTCCCCAGCTGGGCTGTCCCTGTGCCGGGCAGGACCCACTGGGCACTGCTGTCACCGAGCTGGGGAGGCCGAGCTGCACTGTTGCTTCCTGAGCAAATGGCATCTGGAGGAGGCTGGTGGCACTGGCAACACCTTGCTGGGGGTGTTAGGAGGTGCTGAGCAATGCCTGGACCTTCGGCATGATGTCCTGTGGGGCTGCGGGGCAGCCGGGCAGAGCTGGGTGAGTGTTGCCGGCTTCTCCTTGGGACTGGGGGTGCACACAGGAGGGATGTACTGAGCCATGGATCAAACATTGACTGTTGTGCTGCTGTTTTTCTGATGCCACAGGGATGTCTGTGTGTCCGGCTGGGGCACAGGGGAGCTGTGGTGAGTGCTGGGGTCTGGCAAGGGGTCGGTGTGTGCAGGGGCGCCTTTGGGAGTGCTGCCCTGTGCCAAAGCAGGGTCCATGCACGGTGCCAGCTGAGCACTTGCGCTCTGTCACTCGCAGGCAGCCCCCGCAGCTGCTGGAGCCCCCTACAACCCCCGTGTGTGACCCCGGGAAGTTGCGTCTGATAGAGGATGCTGCGGACTGGCAGCCCCGCACCGGGACCTCGCAGTC